TTTTTTTTTTTTTTTTTTGGTTTTTCGAGACAGGGTTTCTCTGTGTAGCCCCGGCTGTCCTGGAACTCACTCTGTAGACCAGGCTGGCCTCTAACTCAGAAATCCGCCTGCCTCTGCCTCCCAAGTGATGGGATTAAAGGCATGCACCACTACCGCCCAGCTTGAGTTGTGATTTTTAATACCAGCCCTGAGTGGTCATCTTTGGGATTGAGATGCCCTGGGTAAAGAATAGTAGAGTCTGGCACATAGTGAAGCAACTCAGTACTTGTCAACTGCTACTATTTTAAACATCAAAATTTAGGGGACATGAGTTTAGGGTCGAGCGCTGTGAGCAAGTGGGTTGAGACTGGCAGTTTAGGAACAGTATGGGTCCTGAGATAGTTTCGGGGCAAGATTGCCTAGGCGGTCTGATCCAGCAAATGTGTATAGTCGGGACAACCACACACTGGCCCCTTCACAGTTGAAAAGGACTCGCTATTGCCAGCTCTGCTGTGATGCTGGGAGGTCTCATTTCTCTTTAAGACTTGGAAGCTTTTCCTAGTAGACATTGCCTTTCAGAAAAAAAATTCTAAGTTTGTATTATACTTGGACATGAAATATCTCCCCAAAGGGTTATAAATTGAAGGCTTGCTCCATAATGCCATGTTCAGAGGTAGACTTTGGGGAAGCAATTGTATCTTGAAGGCTCTAACCTAATTGATGGATCCATCAATGGATTATCGTCTGTGTTTGTTTTGTTTGAAAGATTTATTTTCTGTGTACGTGTGTGTGTGTGTGTGTGTGTGTGTGTATGTGTGTGTGCCTGAGTGCATTGTATGTGCACCATGTATGTACAGTGCCTGAGGAGACCAGAAGAGGGGTCAGTTCCCCTGGAACTGGAGTTACGGGTAGTTGTGAGCTGTCATGTGGATGCTAGAAACTGAACCTAGGTCGAGTGGAAGAACAGCTAGTGCCCTCAATTACTTGAGCCATCTCTCCAGCCCAGGGATGGATTCTTAACTGAGTGGACTCTTGAGAGAAGATGAGAATTGTGGAAGAACATCCCTGGGAAAGTGCCTTTGAAGTGTGTATCTAGTCCCCACCTCCCACCTCTCTCTGCTTCTGGGCTGCTGTGATGTGATTAGCCTTATTCCATCATGCACTGTATGCCACTATGTTCAGACTTGTCTCCGGTCCAGAGCAATGGGGACAAGTGGCCATGGACTGAAGCATCCAGCCGAACTAAATATCACCCCTCCTTTGAAGTTGTTTATGTCAGATGTTTTGTCTTGGCAATAAATTAAAAACAAAACAAAACAAACCTAGATTGTGCTGGGCAGTGGTGACGCTTGCCTTTAATCCCAGCACTTGGAAGGCAGAGGCAGGAGGATCTCTGTGAATTTGAGGCCAGCCTGGTCTGCAGAACAAGTTCTAGGACAGCCAGGACTACACAGAGAAACCCTGTCTCAGAAACAAAACAAAGCAAAACCAAACAAGCAAAAAATCAAAACTAGGTTACTTCTCTTAGGGACTTGAAGTTAGGAGGAACAGGGCTGTGTGCTAGCATTATGGGTTATGGTTTGGATTTAAAATGTCGCACAGAAGCTTGTGTGTTGCAGATGTGGTCACCATGCAGTCATGCTCACAGGTGGAGGATGAGTGTCTCTGACCTCATGGGAGGATCCATCCATTCACAGATTCACAGCCTGGTGGGTTTCTGAGGCAAGGCTTTGTTGAAGAGTGACCATCCTCGTGATGTTTCCTGGCTCCCAGGCACCAAGCATTTTTGCTTTACCACGATCCACACCATAGTGTTCCGCCTTGCACAGGCTCCAAATAATAACCATGGTCTGTGGCATCTGAAACTGTGAGACAAAATAGATATTCCCTCCAACTAAGTGGTTTGTCTTGGGCATTTTGTCACAGCAATGGAAAGCTAACCCAACTGGCAAGGAGTGGTCTCTGGAGCCCGACTGCTCCAGAGATGGAAGACGTACTTGCTATGTGAACGTGTGTCCATCACTTTACCCAGCACCTCCATTTCCTCGGATCTCAATTGTGAGTGATGATACCGGCTCCACAGAGTTCTTAGTGGGAGTAAGTTAGGTGACACAAACATGGTACTTTCCCTTTGTTCATGGGGGATGTGTGTCAAGACACACAGTGACAACCTTAACTTCAGACAATCCAAAACTGTAATTTGTTGGTGGTGACTTGTTTTTGTTTTGTGCCAGGTAACTCTGACTGAGAACTCATTATGAAAACCAGGCCAACTTCACAGCTATCCTCCTGCCTCTCCGCCTCCTGAGTACCGCGATTACAGGTGTGTACCACCATACCTGGCTCAACCCCTGTAATTTAACGCCTCTTTTCATTCTAACCAAAGCATGGCTTTTCCAGTGTGGTGTACAGAAGCAACTCTAGCACACAGTTTTACTTTTGTCATAATTCCACGGATTTGTTCTTCCTGTAGCTCGTCACTATTGACATATATTTACCTCACTAAATCAAGAACTCCCATTTTTCACTTATAGGAAGACTTTTATGGCTTCTCTTTGAGACGCCCAAATTGCCAGTATTACTGTTCTGGTTGGGGCTATTAAGTAAAACATACTCACGAGCATAGCTGATCTCGGTGGCTAAGGGGCAGATGGTGTATACAGAGTGGATATGCTGGACAGGAGGACAGTCCAACAGGACAGAAGGCTTTGAAAAGAATGGCAGAAGATTTCATTATGGTAATTAGGACAGCCCATCACTTAAAACTTATGGACTCTGTATTTCTGAAATTTTCCATTTGGTGTTTTGAGGCTGTGATTGATTTCAGGTAGTGGAAATTATAGAAACTAAGACCAGAAATGTGCATGTACTGCTGTGAAATTCTAGCACAAAGTAGGCTTTCAACAAAGTAAGCTATTGTTAGGGGCTTTGGAGTCCAAGGAAAGCCCTCAGAGTCATGTCCCTATGATTCTAAAACAATGGTATTTTCTTCATTCTCCTGCTCAAGTCTTCCGCTACTCCACTGAGCCTCTGGTACCAGCTCCCACATTTTACAGACTGAGAGGTCGTGGGTGAGAGAGGGCTTGCTTGAGATCATACGAGGGTCCCTAGAAACTCCGTTTGAGGTTTTCAGGTATCACTTCCAGCACGCCGTGCTTCTCCTCACTTCCCTGCACGTTGGGGTATAGTTAACTGTAACCGAGCACTCGTGCATACTACTCAAGGGCTTAAAGCACAGAAGGTACCTGGGAAGGACTTAAGGCTTTTAAGGAACTTCATGAGCCACCAACCAAAGATGCCAGGGATATATCTCCTCTTGGGCTCGAATCATGGAGCTTCCAGCCCTGTGCTACAGCCCCAGAGAGAAGGCATACACAACTGCTAGGAGAACGGACAGCACAACCGGCTTAAGAGGAAACCGATAGCTCATAAAGAAGACGCAGGTCCCACTGGTTTCCCTTCAGTGTGCTTGGTTTGGGAGTTTCTAAGACCCAATCTCCTAACCCTGGGGGTAGGCCTGTCCCTATCCCCAAAACAAAGCTCATCTCCACCATTTGCTGCCTGGACAGAAATCCGGCCTCTTCAAGCATCTGCAATCTCATTTAACCAATCCCTCACATGTCCCGCCCCCACTTTTGGTAGATCCCTTGAAGTCCCTCCTCCGCACGTGGCCCAGCCCAGGGATCTCTGCTCCCCTTTCGCCCGGAGTTTGCCGTCAGAGAGCTCTTTTTCACCACCCTGGGTTGTGAGCTCTCAGACACCAGTACATCCGTGGCGACTGAGCGGACTGTGGCGAGACCCCCAAGTGCGGGAAGGAGGTTTTTTTCCCCTCCCTGAAACCTTCCAGACCCGTTCAGTGTAAACCGCCTCCGGTTTGTGTCAACATCCGAGACCGGAGACTGGCGGCGGCTGGGAACCGGCTCCATCTAAGCGACGGGAATGCGGGAGGGTGGGGAATGGAACGATGCTTGGCATACGTAAAGGCTCCTTCTGGAGGAGAACCAACGAGTCTTTTTAGGGGTCCTCGAGAAGAAAGCATGGAGCCTGATGAGAGAGCTGACTTACGGTTGTAGGGGTGGCTGGCGGGAGCCCACGCCCTCATGTGTCTAGGTAGAGGATACTTCCACATCCACCCAGCTCGTGCTGCACCCACCCACCCCTCTGCTACACGGCGGGAGGGGAGTGGGTGTGGAGGGGCACTGGTGCAAAGGCTTGAGTTCTTGACCACCCAGTCTTCCCTTCTCCACCTTGCCACTCCGCAGCTCCTTGTTGATCCCCTCCAGGTTCGGGCAGGACAAGGGAATCTTGTGAATCACCCCTTATCTTACTCCCACCCCCGCTGGGGCCCAGGAAGAGAAGGCTTAGAGATTCGACTACGGTTCTTCTGTTCCCATAGCAACGGTGCGGTTGTTTTTTGCGAATCCACTTTAATCATCCGTACTTTTCGCTCCAAACTGTGACCCAGGCTCTGAGCCTCAGGGTTGAGGAACAGATGTGGGTACAGCCCTCTACAATCCTGGCGACTCGAGGAAGGTCAGCGCGGGCGGGCGGGCGGGCAGGCGGGCGGGGCTCGCTTTTGTGGTAGCCTAGACTCACAGGCCACCCCAACCCCACCTGAAACCCCGCCTGTCACTCGGTGCCAGCTGAACCAATCGATGTCCAAAGTTGCTGAGAGGAGGCGGGCCTTATGCAAATCGTGTCGCCTTCCTGAAGCAAATAGTGATACAAGAACTGGGGAGGCGGCTCCAACGCGGACCCTACAGAGCCCGGCGTCCATCTGATAGTCAGTTTCGTCCCCGCGGCCGCCCAGGCTCGGAGCCATCCAGTGACTCGGCGAGCAGCCTCAGGTAATGAGGGTGGGGCCGGGCCCTTGAAGCAACCTCGCGGGGCGGAGGCCCTGAGCCCCTCCTCCTCCGCCCTCTCCTCCCTTTCTCATATGCTCAGATCCATCTTTTTTGACCCTGGGTCTGTCATAGGTGGACAACCATCTGGAGAGCCCGCCTTGGGCCAGAGACTTTCACTTCAAGCAGGGTCTCCAGTTCAAGGAGGAGGTACGGCTGCCTCCTTACCCCCAAGCTCAGGTAAGAACAATCATTCCTCTGGCTCCAGTGCGCGCACACACACACACACACACACACACACACACACATTTGGGGGTGTGTGGTGTCACTGGTGCTAGAAGAGAGGCTCCAGTCACCCTGTCTTCTCTTGCCTCTAAAGACAGTGGTTTGCCAAGCCTCACGGAAACCTCTACTTTGAGGTAGCCCACACCGACACCAATAGTTCACTGTCATTCACATCTCAGGGTCCTATTCCCAAGAAGACCTCGATAGCAAATTTATTCTCTGACTACATTATCTCTGCCCCTTATGCTGACAGTTCACAGTATACCCAAGGGAAGGATGAAGACCCCTCCCCCCAGTGTCATATTCCAGGCACATTCAGCATCTCTCACTAGTAGCCCCCAAGCTAGACAGAGGTCCCACACTCTGCCTCTTTTATCTTGCCTGGAGCATAAACCAGGGATGCTTCTCCCAGGAGACCACCCCCATAGCTCTAGTCTTTATACCTCGTCCCCTTCACACAGAAACCCACCAGGTCCTCTCTTTGTAACCCATTCTTCTCTGTCCCTTTTGTGCCTGTTGCTCCCTCTCTCGGCTTCCTGTTGTTTGTAGAGATGAAGCCAAAGACCCATGTGGACTCAGTGTCTCCTTTCCCTGTGTCTGAACATGGAAGCAGATCTCTGTTTGACTTTAGCCAAGTCTTTTCCCTCTCAGTTTCTTCACGAGATGGGCAAAGGGCAGGGCAGAGAGAGGAGGATTCAATGAGACAGTCTTGAGCAACCTTCCAGATCTGACATATTCTGGTTCCACAGCTGACTACAGGAGAACAAAGCCCTGTTTAAACCATTAGGATGTTTCTCAGAGGAGACCTGAGAGGCCCCAGCCATCAGTGTAGGGACATCCTTTTCACTCAGGCCAAGGTTCAGGCTACTCACTCCTACATATCCCACAGGTTCATTCTCTTAGGGATCTTTTCCAGACCACCTGACCACCCTGGCATGAAAGCTCCAAAGTGAAGGTGTCGACACAGCTCACCTTGAATGAGTTACCTTTGCCTTTTATTATGAAGGGAAGGAACAAGACCTGGTTATTATTGCCATTGCTGCTGCTTGTAAAAGTGCAAAGGGAGGAGAGGGAAAGAGAAAATCTCCTGACCAGGGAACTGTTGTCACCATGGCAACTGCCTCAGCACCAGCTCCTCTGAAGCTAGGCGAGGGTGTGGGATTATTGCCTCCTTCAGTCCCTCCTACTTTTTACTGCCACCTCTCCACTTGAACCCCCAACCCCAAATCCTCTAGAAGAAGCCTCTGAGCACGGGGGATGGGGCAGAGATTTTTGAGCAAGGAGTACCTCCTCAACTGGAGGACAGCCCTCCAGAAGCTTTCACTTCAACAGAACACACACCTGGTTAGGCACTGGTCTTTGCTATGCAGCTAATGGGTTCCAGTTGACCTTAGGTGAACCTGACTCTGGGTTCTATTGTCTCTGAAGTAGGCTTGATAGAAGACCACAGACAAACAAAACAGCGTGACATAGTACCAAGAGGAAGGGCATGTTGTTCTTCTCTCACAATCTAAGTGACATTCACCGAGCATGACTATATCCTAGGCTCTGCTTTCAAGCTTCTGCAGGATGCTCGTGTGCAAGCACAGGGGGAAAACTTCCAGAAGACAGACTTAGAAATGATAAGAAACAGGCACCTTTTCCCCTGTCCAAGATGCTAAGAAATAGTCCTGTTAGAAGAGGGAAAGCTTACTTTAGGAAAGAAAGACCTGGGGACTCTCCCATAGAATCCTAGATCATTAGATAAGGGTCAGCAGACAGTGTGTGGGTGAGGGTTCACACACCATAGCCTCATGAGGTCTGCCTGTGCTGACAGTACTGAGTTCATGCTGCTGCCTGACCACTGCTCATCTTGGAAAGGGCTGATTGCAAGGAAGAATGTTTCAGTGAAGGAATGAAGGCAGCTTGCAGTGTGTGTCAGCCCAGAGAAGGGTGAGGGCAGAGAAACTATTTAAGCACATAGGTGAGGTAGGGTCTAGCTGAGAGATGCCTGGCTCAGGAGGAGGATGGATGATGGGTAGAGCAGTGGAGGGTGAAGATCAACAGGTGGGCAGCTTGAAACAAGATTCTAGATGGTTTTTTGGAGTTTCAGAGTCTGGTCATGGGTGTGTGGGTATAGCTATCTCTACCCTAACTTTGAAATGAGATTCTAGAAGATTTTGGAGTTTCAGAGGGTCACCTGTACCATGCACTGTAACTATGGGAAATCATCTCTTGGAAGAGAGGTATTGGAAGAATAGACCTTCATGTGGAGTAGGTAAGCTCCGTGACCATGGGCCAACACAAGACCTGATGGCAAGCTGGACCTGAAGAGAAGGGGGGAAATCTGAAATAATCCATAGGTTCCTTTTTCCTTCTCCTTGAACCCCACACCCGGAGGTGAGAAAGAGGCAGGGGAGGGAGGAACCAGTTGTTTAAATTGAGGGTGAATCTGTTTGTAGCCAAGGTGTTTATGGGTACCCACTAGGATGAATATATAGTTTCTGGTGGTCAGAGACTATGGGCTGCAGGCAAAATGATCCCACTGAGACCACAGAATCAGAGGTGTTTTTCCCAGAAGGCCAATGGGGGCAGAGAAAGTCTGTGCTGAGAAAGAACAGCCATGATGTAGAGAGGGTGAGAGGACGGCTCACGCAGGTGCTAGGGATCCAACCTGGATGCTCATTGGAACCCCTCCACTGACTGCTCTCTCTCTCTCTCTCTCTCTCTCTCTCTCTCTCTCTCTCTCTCTCTCTCACACACACACACACACACACACACACACACACACACACATGCACACTAAAGTAAGGGGGTGGGGGAGGTAATCTCAAAGGGTGCTGTCTATTTTGCATTTCTGACCATCTAAGAGGGAGGAGATGTTTTCTGATCCTCAGTGGGTCTAGGACCAAGTAGAGGCAGGGCAAAGATAAGGACCCTGAAGACAGAAGGGTGGGGAAGTTACCACAGGAGAGAGAAGGGGAGCAGAAGGTGAGGACCACACAGACACCATGACACACAGAGACGTGTGTGCTCTGACAGATTTGCAGCCTCATCCGTTGACACCCTCCTACACATAGACCCAGCCCCTCATGCAGAAACTCAGGCACATCCTACAAGAACCAAGGGGAAGAGGTTCTGCCTCCCCCATCAGACACCGCTGCTCTACGGTTCTTCAACTTCTTTATGTATGCCTTAAGCTTTCAAAGTGGGGCTGGGTCTATGTGTTGTTGTTTTGGTTTTTCGAGACAGGGTCTCTCTGTGTAGTCCTGGCTGTCCTGGAACTCACTTTGTAGACCAGGCTGGCCTCGAACTCAGAAATCCGCCTGCCTCTGCCTCCCAAGTGCTGGGATTAAAGGCGTGCGCCACCACAGCCCGGCTTACACAGTCTTTAGGGAAGGATGCAGCTGAGGATGGCCCCTCGATTCCACTCGTGGGTGGTCTAGGAGCACCCTTGACTCTGGCACTGGTGCAGTCCTAAGGTCCTGAAGACAGCAAACTTCTCCCTCCCAGGCTTCTCCTGTGGAATCCCTCATCTTCTGGGGGGGGGGGGAGGTTAGTTAGTAGCTAGAGAAGGGTGTTGCCACCTTCACTGCTCCTTGATCTCACAGCACAGAAGAGGACCCTGAGGTTCAGAGATATCCTGTAACTAACTTGCGGACCATATGCTTTGATTTCTGTGTTCATCTCAGTTTTGTGTTCAGCTTAGTCAGCAAGAGCTAACAGCGCTCTCTCCTTAGGACCCTTCGGTCCATCCACCTCTCCAGTTGAACTTATGCCAAGTCCCTCTTCGTACCGTTCTGTCCGCTCTGCTTCAAGTCTTCTTTTCTTAAAGATCTGTTTTTCTTATTTGTAATGCTGTGTAGGCGTGTGTTTCTGCCTGAGAGCATGTGCACATGAATGCAGGTTCCTTTGGAGGCCAGAGGTGTCAGATGCCCTGGAGCTGGAGTTACAGATAGTTGTACTTGGCGTGGGTGCTGGGAACCAAACTTGTGTCCTCTGGAGGAGCAGCAAGTTCTCTTAATCACTAAACCATCTTTCCAGCCTCAAGTCATCTTGCACATTGCAGCCAAAGGAAAATTAAAAAAAAAAAATCTCTAGACTTCCAGGGCCGGGCATATTGTAAGCATCTCATGCCCCATGTTATGGAATGAATGTTAGCTTGCAAACCTTTGCTTTAAAACTTCCAGGTTGGCATGGATAAAAGGCCTTTATAGGCCATCATCTATCTCTAGAAACCACTTATGAGCTACTGAAGCTGGCTTGTCTTGCCTTTATCTTCATATCAAGCCCAGGCCCTCGACAAATGCTCAGGGAGTGAATGGGTTAATGAAAAACAAATTTTAATCAGGGTCATGTCTGCTCCAGGCTGGGACTTCTATTTGTACACAGGAAGGAAGGAGAGATGCTTCCTGTGTGGGGCTCCCAGGAAAGCCTGGAGGAAGAACTTGGGAAGTGGTTCCTGGGGGACATTGGTAGGAGAGGAGCCTTCCCAGGAGGGAGGTTTCTGAACACAGACAGCCCCTGCTAGCTGGAAGTGAAGTTGACATTTTACGCTATGGACTTAGGGAACTATGAATGATGGGGAGTAAGGATGAAGATTGGGCCATATTCTACCCCCTCACCCCCCAGTCACTGAGGGGATCAGCTGCCACCTGGAAAGACTGGATATGTCCTTACAGGAGAGGTCTGCTCTGGGTTACAGGGTGTTGTAAGACGAGAGGGAGTCCTCTTGTGGGGAGACAGAGCCCACTATTCAGAGAGTGGTCTCCATATGAGAAGAGGTGAGGGGAAACTGAGCGTCTTGAAAGGAGGTGGAGCGCTCTGAATGGATGGCCAGGGGAATGAGGAGGGACAAATGCTGACTTTAGGAAGACGGGCTCCTTGTGGGGCGGGGAGTGTGAAGAAGGGTCTAAGTTGGATGAGGTTCGAGAGCCACTTTGCCCAAATGCCCTGGGCCATGTTGAAGGAGCTCTCTGTCCCCCAGACCCACCATGGGGAAGAACAACAGCAAGCTGGCCCCCGAGGTGCTGGAAGACCTGGTCCAGAACACGGAATTCAGCGAGCAGGAGCTAAAGCAGTGGTATAAGGGCTTCCTGAAGGACTGCCCTAGCGGCATCCTCAACCTGGAGGAGTTCCAGCAACTATACATCAAGGTGCCGGGTGGGGCGTGGCGTGGCGGGGTGGACAGGGTAGGGCGTGGCGTAGCAGAGTGGACAGGGTGGGGCGTGGTGTGGCGGGGTGGACAGGGTGGGGCGTGGCGTGGCGTGGCAGGGTGAACAGGTATAGGGCATCGGAGAGTTGCAGAGCTCAGCAGGTTGGGGAAGGCAGGGAGGGTGAAGTTGTTGTGCCCCAATAACCTGCACCCCTGCCTCAGTTCTTCCCTTATGGAGACGCCTCTAAGTTTGCACAGCACGCTTTCCGCACCTTTGACAAGAATGGCGATGGCACCATCGACTTCCGGGAGTTCATCTGCGCCCTTTCCGTCACTTCCCGTGGCAGCTTTGAGCAGAAGCTCAACTGGGCCTTTGAGATGTACGACCTGGACGGCGACGGGCGCATCACACGACTGGAGATGCTGGAGATCATCGAGGTGCGGCTGGGCCAGGGTGGGCATGCAGTGTTCTTGAGCCTCACGAGTCCCCAGCATTCCTCCACCACAGTTCTGCTGGCCTCTTGCCCAGTGTTTAACCTGTGGGATAGATGGAGATACCCTATTTTCCCAGATGAACCAAAGATAGCATGTGGTAGCCATCAGCGAATCAAATCTAGGGCAGCCAAATTCATCCATTTGGTTTTTAAAGAAATAAGTATTGAGATTTGAATAGATGGCTCAGCATGTAAAGGTGCTTGTACCTAAGTTTGCCCCTGGGACCCCACATGGTAGAAGGAGAGAACCAATCTCTACGTGTTGTCCTCCGTAGACACACCATGATTCTTGCTCTGGTGCTTGTACACACACACACACACACACACACACACACACACTAAATGTTTGTTTTTTTTTAATTTTGCTTTCTAAAAAAAATATTGAGTCTGCTTTCATAGGAGACTCCTTCTAGTAAATCAATAAGTAAATTTGGGTCATACCAGGCGGTATGGAAATGAGTAAAGTAAGAGTGATGGCGGAAAATGGGGAGGAGCTAACTCATCCAGTCTTCAGAGTGAACCAACCACTCAAGTGGGTGAAGCTGGGTTTGCTTGGCTCAAAGTGTGGTAGGAGGCCAGGGAAGAAGGGGTGTGAGCAGAGGATGACAAGATGATAAGCAGAGAGCAGGGAGTCCCATCAGTGCCTCAGGCTAGGGTAGAGGCATCGATCCTTGAGACACTGAGGCATTGAGAGTGTAGCGATTAGCTGATAGAGGAACATGTTGGCAGCAGAGGCCTGGAGACCAGTTAGAAGACTCCCTCAGAGACCCAGTCAGGAGCTGGAAGAGGCTGCCTTCAAGCACAGACTGTGGGAATGGTGGAAAGCAAGTCTACACAGGGCCCACTAGAGAATTAGTTGCCATGTTTAGAGCTGAAGAATTGGATGTATGTGTGAGAAAGAGGGGAGGGAAAATGACAGGGGAACTAAGCCCCGTGGTACACTCCTGTAATCCCAGCACTCAAGAAGCCGAGGCACAGGATCATGAGTTCAAGGCTAGGCTGAGCAACATAATGAGTCCCAAGCCAGCCTGGGATACAGATGAGACACATTGTCTCAGAGAATGGCTTGGGGTTTTGGTTTTTTGTTGTTTTGTTTTTAAATCTGGCAGAATAAGTCTTTACGTCTTGAGATGGAATTCTAGAGGCACAACAAACTTGGGAAGTGGGTTAAAAAGTTGAGTTTGAGGCATGATTCATTTAAAGTGCTTATCAGGTTGATAACATAAACAATATTATATATGTTGTTTGGGTGTGGCAGTGCCTGCCTTTAATCCCAGCACTCAGTTAGGCAGAGGCAGGTGGATCTTTCAGAATTCAAGGCCATCAGGGTCTGCATGGTAAGCTCAAAGGTAGCCTTGTCTACATAGTGAGTTCCAGGCCACTCAGAGTTACGTGATTGGACCTGTGAGGTCAGAGAACAACTTGGTGGAGACAGTTCTTTCCTTCCACCTTTATGCGGGTTCTGGAGACCAAACACAGGTCATCAAGCTTGTGTAGGAAGTTCCTGTACCAGCTGAGCCATCCAGCCAGCCCTAAAAAGCCAGTCTTAATGACCATGGTCTCTCTGTAGTGTCTCCACCCTCCTCCAGTGTGCTCAGTCCACCCCCAGATCCTCTGTATTCATCTTCAGTCCTCCCTGCCAGATGGGTGCTCACTCCTCCATCTCTGCTCCGTCAGGCTATCTATAAGATGGTGGGCACCGTGATCATGATGCGTATGAACCAGGATGGGCTCACACCCCAGCAGCGTGTGGACAAGATCTTCAAGAAGATGGACCAGGATAAGGATGACCAGATTACACTGGAGGAGTTCAAGGAGGCGGCCAAGAGTGACCCGTCCATCGTGTTGCTGCTGCAGTGTGACATGCAGAAGTAGAGGCTGGTGAGGGGCAGGGCCCCTGGCCAGGAAAGGCATGGCACCTCCCAACCTGATGTCCTCTCTGCTGGTCCATCCCCAGGGGGAGGGGCATTCCAGCCTCACTCTCTAGCTCACCCACTCCTCTGCCCAAGCCTTTCTCTCCTCAGTCAAGTTCTGTGAGCGACCACCTCATCCTGCAAAAGAGACAGGTCCTCTCAAGTAGCCTGTCCTCAGATAGTCTGTCACTAGCTCCACCTCTAGCCTTGTCCTAGAACCAACATCCTTTGGGCTTAGGAGAGTTGGCTTTTGACCCAAGAGGCGAGGTTAAGGAAGGGCTGAGGACTTGCTTTGCAATCCTGTTGTTCCCAGGATTATGGTCCAAATAAACAGCATGGTCCCACAGGCCCCCAGTCAAAGGGCCAAACCGGGTCTGTCCTGGACTATCCGGATTCCCTGAGAGGTGGTCTCTGCCCTGCCCCTCTGCTCTACCTGGCTCCTCTGGCCCCAGCCTTTGGAATGTTCAGTGAGTCCTTTCTTCAGCTAATGAGTGTTGAACGCTTGCCCCATGCCAGGCACCTTAAGGTGCTAAGAATACGGTTGTTTACAGAAACCCATTCCGTGCCCCCCTGGAAGCTCACAGGGTATCGAGACAACTTCCAAGGGTTGCGATCTCAGACCGGGATGTGGAACACAACAGAGATGAGGGCGCGAGGCAGCTGGCGAGTTGTCAGAACTAGTGTGTCCTCCAGCTGGCGCACCCAAAGCTGCAGAAAGACTGACTGGAAAGCCTGTGGGAGTTTAGGTGCCACGTGGGTGGAAGTTTTAAGAAAAACAAAAATTTATGTACTATTTATTTTTTTAGTGCCCTTTCAAAGAGATAAGATCATTTTATTAGACTATTAAAATATACTCTATATTACTTGATTTCTTAAAAAAAAAGATTTAAATGAATATAAAAATGCTAATGTTCAAGGGGGAAAAAATGTTTAGGCCAAAGCGGTAGGGCCACCATCAGAGAACCCATGCTCTCACCACCAGCAGTTCCTGCTGTCTCTGCTACATCCCTTTACTACCTTTTCTCAATTCCATAAGTGACTTTTCTGTCGCACACCTTGGGTGCTGATGTCAGAGAAAGAAACAAGGCTTACCATAGGCAAGCACAGCTCATACCCACATCTCGGTAGCTTGTTTCTGAGTTTGGGTTGGTTTTCAGGGATCGGCTTATTCTTTCACAGCCTCAGATAGAAGGAGCTAGAAGAAAGGGATCACGCGGCCGCTGTTTAGGCTTCTGGGCTGCACTTATATGTGGACCAAATGCTTAAAGAATGTGCTGGGCGTACTCCATACGAAAGGCTTTTCCTAAACCCTTCCATCCTCGATCTGCCAGGTAATCTACTTTGTCACTTTCCAAGCTCACCAACTTTGCTTTCTGAATTTTAGGGTCTATGAGCTAACTAGTGTGCTGCATGCTTTCCAGAAAAATCCACCTGCTTCTTCCAGTTCCTCACTTCACTTTCGCCTGCGCTTCCTTGCCATCAGAGGTTGGCTTTGATGGGCGATGACAGTTGGCTTCCTCTTGAACTGCTGTGAAAACAGTCTAGTACAGAGATGCTGTCAGCCAGGGTGGGAGTAGAGAGTGCTTGTGAAGCTGGGGGGTGTGGTGGCAGAGATGGCTCTGCAGAAGATACCTACGCTATTTGCCACTTACTTCCGAGTGCTTACCCCCCTGCTGGTAGAAATGTTTGTAGATTCTGACCTGTGGTCCAAAGTTCTGTCAGACCTTCCTTCTTGTGGCCTTTGGAAGGAGCAAGCCTCCTTCCTCCTGACCCGCCTATCCAGGCCACGTGGTAAGGGTGAGGAATTCTTAGCCTCAAGTGATACTGTCAGGTATCTGGTGATATCTGGTGATGCTTCCTGGGGCTCTTCCATAGCTCTCACTAACTGCCTGTTAAGCATGTCTTGTGCTGTCATCAGTGCCACAGACACATAAATGCTCAACTGCCTAGCTCAGCTGGGACCCGAATCATCTAGTGAAAAGCTTTTCTCTTCCCCCAAATGTAAATCTAGCCCAACTCACAATGACACAGAATTTCTTGGCTTTCAAGGCTTATGTCTACCTGCATCTCATTTTGTCCTCACGCCCCAGGGAGACAAGGGTTTTCTGTACCTTTGCTCAGGCTTGGAAGCTAAGGTTAAGGGTTGAGGGTGAGAGGTCTCTTGTATGAGAGACACGCGATGCCAAGACTCGAATGCCAGGCTCTCTAAGAGTCTCTTCTTTGCCCCATCTGATTTGTCCAGATGCTAACTGCAGGACAAATTGACTTTTGTCCTTTCAGAAGTTTCCTGCTAAGAACTTTCTGAGGCTACAGTCTTCCAAACAAGGAGGAGGAGCTTGAAGCCTCTCCATTTTCAAGCATCTTCTTGTTGCTTCTGGGCAGCTTTGCATGGACTGGTGTTGTTCTTGGAGGCTGCTAACCAAATCCTGGAAGCATCCTGTATTGTCTTCCCCACTATCTTCCTTCCCAAGAGAGTTGCTTTTCTTTTTGCAAGCTGGTAGGCACGTTCTACCCATGAGACAGATCACTCCAGGCCACTCACTCATGGGCAATATTTGCTACTTAAGCCAAGGGTTTCAGACAGCCCAACAAGCCCCAGCCTGGCTCTGCCCTCTTGCTGATGGGATGAGCCACAGGCAGGTTAAGCCTTGCTCCCACACTCTCCTGGGTGTCTAAAACTCAATATGCCCAGGAGACCATGTGGTAGAGCGCCCATCCCTGCCTTGGGAAGAGAGAGGTCTCCCATCTCTGCTCTAGCTTGAGAAGCACAGGTCAGCAGAGACCTGTGTGTGACTTGCACAGACATGGGAACATAAATGCAGTTAAAACACTGACATACCAAATTCTCCTTCGAGGTTCTGTATCCTCTTAGAAAAAGTCTGTGAGTCTGGTGGTTCCAAATTTAGCCTTCTCATGCCTGTTTTCCTCATTCACCCTTTCTGGCTAAGTGATGAGCCCCTTATTTCTCATCCCTAAAAATCCTCAGCGTAGGCTGCTTTGTGTGCCGAGGCGGTCCATGCAGCTGCATAATTACTAGCGTATCTTTAAAATTAAGAGAAAACCAAGCCCATTGGCAAAGGCGCCGATTCTTTTCTCCTCTGGCAATGGCAGAGGCTCAAAAGCAGAAATCCATTTTACGCAGAAGGTTGTAGGAGCAAGAAGAGGACGAGCTGGTCTTCCTAGGCAGGGCAGTGACCAGACACTGTAAATATTTTTACACAAAAATGTATTAAAGCAAGAGTTATTTCCTGGAGATCCACCCTGGGTGAGGCTTTGTGTTGGCTTTAGAAATCACCACGGGGCTAAGAAAACATTTCTTACTTAGCTCCTTCATTGTGCTTAAAGAAAGCAAAGGATTCACGTGCTCAATTTAAAAGTGTCAGAAAAACATGTTTTTTTTCCCCCTAGACTTTTCAGGGTTTTCTCTTCTTAGCTTTGTCAGACTGTGGGGTAGGACAGGGTCTCTCAGGGTGTATGGATCCCTCTGCTTGGTGGAGGCTGTCCAGGTACATGGTCTTCTAAGCAGTGAGGAAGCCTAGGTGTGTCCCAGTTCACTATGGGAGCCCCAGTGTAGCCCTGTCCCCTCCAGACATGCGGCTTCTAATTGTGTTCACAGCAACCATCTTCACTGATCAACCCTGTGCCACGTGCTGTGTGTTTTTCCCACTGACAATGAATAAAAGGTGTGACTGTACAAGCTTCTGTTCTTTGCTAAACTGGGCTGGGTGGGGTTAGGGTGGGGGAAAGGGAAAGAGGCCAGGGGAGTTCACAGACCACCTCATGAGTTTCCTTGGGGATCAAGCTAGATCTTTTGGTCTGGCAGTGTCTTAGTCAGGGTTTCTATTCCTGCACAAAACACCATGACCAAGAAGCAAGTTGGGGAGGAAAGGGTTTATTCAAGCTTACACCTCCATATTGCTGTTCATCACCAAAGGAAGTCAGGACAGGAACTCACACAGGGCAGGAACTTGGAGACAGGAGCTGATGCCGAAGCCCTGGAGGAATGCTGCTTACTGGCTTGCTTCCCCTGGCTTGCTCAGCTTGCTTTCTTATCGAACCCAAGACCACCAGCTCAGGGATGGCACCAACAACAATGGGCTAGGCCCTCCCCACTTGATCACTTATTGAGACAATGCCTTACAGCTGGATCTCATGGAGGCATTTCTCAATGGAGTCTCCTTTCTCTGTGATAACTCCAGGTTGTGTCAATTTGACACACAAAACCAGCCAGTACAGGCAGGGATTCTAGTCATATAGAACCCACTTAAGCTACTTCAAAGCAAAAGGGGAAACAGATCACAAAGGATCCCAATGACAGGCAATTCAGGACATGTGGGCAGTCTGGGGATGTAGCTCTGTTGGTAGAGTATTTGCTCAGCATGCACAAGGCCGTGGGCAATCCTCCACACTGCATAAGATGGATATGGTGGCTCATGTCTATGACCCAGCACTTGGGAGGTAGAAGCAGGAGGATCAAGAGTTCAAGATTGTCTCAGGCTACATTAGTAAGTTCAACCCCAGCCTTAGACATGAGTCCTTGTCTAAAAAACAAAAATAAATAAGGTCTAGGGTTGAGACCTATTGAAGAGATAGCCCAATGGTTAAGAGCAATTGCCTGCTCTCCCAGAGGTCCTGAGTTCAATTCCCAGCAACCACATGGTGGCTCTCAAACATCTGTAATGGGATCTGATGCCCTCTTTTGTCATGTAGAAATACACACAAATAGAGCACTCACATACATAAGTAGATAAATCTTCTAAAGGGGGGGGTGGTCTGGGCCTCTAAACAAGAACTGTAGAACTGGCAACTGGACCTCTCCCTTTCTATTCTGAGATCACAGGCTTTGTGTGTCTGGGTAAAGGTTGATTTCTGTTTTGTTTGTTTGTTTGTTTGTTTGTTTAAGGCTGGGTCTCGCTATGTAGTCCAAGCTGGCCTTACTCTCCTAAGCCTCTACCCTCCTGAGTGCTAGGATTACAGA